TGGCGGTAGGGCAAAATAAGGCCCGCACTGTGGTAGAAAATTCGTTAATGCAGGATCGCTGTTCAAAAACATTTCGTTGCTGCGAGATACGTAATACATGGGCTTCTACGAACGTTCGCCGGGGATCTGGAAATATTTAGTTGCTGCGGGGATTTCGAACTCGCGGGGTTTCGTTATTGCGGGTTCCGACTATATATGAAATGGTGCCAAGAAGGGCATTGATTACGGAAGATATTGGTGTTGGAAAGCATTGAAGAAGATAATTCGAAGAAGATAATTCCCTTATTGAAGAAGATAATTCTAGGCTAACGGACTCATGAGTCCACTCACTCGGACTCAAATCGAGCTGTGAGTCAGAGTCTGAGTGAACCTGGGCGAGTAATATGTTGGTGAGTCTGAGTGAGCTCCACAAGTTTTTAGACTTGCACTGGCAACACTGCTAACATCTGCACCACATTTCCTGTGACACAAGCTCCATAATGTGATGGCATGATAATTTTTTAAAGCTCATCATTGTTCCTGGTTCGATACAAACAACCTGTGGCTTATATCCACATTCTATGGGCCGTGGTGTGTGGGTATGTGCCACATAGGAATGAAATGGTTGTGTAGAGTACGTGCCGAGTATCTCATGCAGTTCATGTAGTGACCTGTTCATCAGGTTTGCCATACACTAATGTTCTCCCATGCAAAGCTTGGAGTGTGTGTGTACGTAAAGAGATGACCATAAGAATGCCTGTATGTAGGCAGCTAGATAGATAATTTTGAGAGATTTACACCGACTTGTCCGTACAGAATTTAAGAAATTTATGTGGACAGTATTCCACTTAGACAGGTGGCATCCTCAGTGTGCACTGACACCAAATGAACGGAGTTCACCCAATCCACTACTGTAGTTCATGTGTCTCATAAGATGTGTCGTGTGGTAGGGGGCCACAGTTGTTGCATGCCGATAGGTCACAATGGATGAACCACAATTCCAGGACTTTTCTTTTCCCATACCTCTGTTTCCGAGCCAGTGTAGTTGCATTGTTGAAGTCAAAGGCATGTCCTGTTGTTCACCAGTGTTTAACGAGCTCTGTCTTAGAATGCATGGTGTGGGTGACTTTAGTGACGTTTGTGTTTTTTGAGCCTCATTGATCTTTTCCTGCTGGTTTTTCCGATAAATGTAGCTTCACAATTTCAGCATTGTACTCTGTTAACAACCCCATTTTGACAATTCGTGTGTGTGTGTGTGTGGTCTTTGAGCTTGGAAGACACATTTCCAAAGGTGTAATGAGGCCTGAAAATGGTTCCCATGCCCAGCGGATGCATTGTTCTCTGAACAGAGTCTGATATGTTTGGAACATATGGAATAGACACAGTGGATGTCATCTTTTCTCATGGTGCATTCTTTGTTCTTTTTCGTATGTGTTTCTGGGTGACTTTAATGAAGGGCCTGGGATAATGCCGCTGTTTCAAATCACCAACCACATTATCCACTTCATATTGCTGCAGCTGCTAATTAGAGCACACTACATCACGGGACAAGAAAGTCCTTTTGGGCGACCCATTGTGTTCAGTTGTGTGATGAGATTCAGAGGACGAAAAATTTCTGGCGTAGTGTTTCTTCCGGTGCACTTTCCTTTTCACCCGACCCCATTAGTCTAATATGTACCGGCACATCCAAGAAAAGGCACATTTTTTTTCTGTCTTTCATGCGTGAACTGAATGGCAGGGTGAACGCAGCTTAGAATCTCTGGAAAGCCTTCAGATTCGTTTGTTTAAGGTTGCAATAGTATCATCCACGTACCTGTGGTACAGCCGTGGCCACGTCTGTGGAGAGCACGTGAGAAGCCGCTTTTTTCCTTGTGTGGTGACAGCTTGATGCGATTTCGGCCTCTGACGAGGTCAGCCTGACAGCTAAGCCGCACATGCTCCTGATACACCACTTCAATATAGTACGCTTCACAAATTTCTCTTCATTAGGAAGAAGGGAAGTGTCAGTGACTCACCTGTGTTATTGTATAACATAGAGATGAGATTTATCGATAAGCATTGTTAAAGTGACATCTTATGACTGTGAATATTTTTGTGATGGTACCTTACTGATAAGGGCATGCACGATGATGGTTTCTGTGAAATGTACCTTCATGTTCAACTGACCTTCATTTCACACAGTCCACCTATAATGGACAGTGTGAAATGAAGGTCAGTTGAAAGTCTGCGCCTGTGTGTGTCTGGTTTATATGTGTGTGGCACAGTTATCGCCTTTGTGTTAATATGCACCTACTTGCGCAGCAACACGTTCTTCTAATAACGCTTTGTTCGGGTAAGCTACACAGGCATCACTCATCTCAAAGAGACATGCGAGCTGAAAAATGCAAGGGTCTTGGAAAATTACGCGTTTTTCCTTTTTGTTTGCTTTCACAAGTTTAGGTTCTCTACTTTTACTACAAAAAAAAACAAAAAAACTGAAGATTGTAAATAAACTTGAAGTAGATTGAAATCGCTCTTAAAGAGCACAAAGTGGCTACTAAAAACTAAATTGAGCTCATTGTCTAGAATTTCTTGGGAATTGTCACCTTGCTGCTTGCTATTGCATTTTGCGTGAGGAGTTCACTGAAGCCACATGCTCAAAATAACAGTGATTGCCAAGCTCTTTATGATGGAATGAATAATTAAAAAAATATATCTTTGCCGCATCATTGACCACTGACATACACCATTAAAATGTGTTTTATTGAAGATCCATTTTTGGGCAACTTCTTGAGTTAAGACATGTTTTTGGTACTTCTGATAGCCAGATCAAGATGTAATTTTGCTCCCATATTTCTCAACATGTAAAGAGTGCAAGTATCTCCTTCAAAACTTGATATCGCCTCTAATTATTCTGAACATAAAGCAAGCATTTACTTAGTATAGATTGAGGATTCTAAAAATTCTCTCATAATTTTATTGTCAATTAAAATTTATTATATGCACTTTTTTGATAGTTATTTGCATTCTACAGTTAATGTGGAGCAATACAAGTCATTAATGGCACAGAACCATAAAAGATTAGTGACAAGAAAAGTTTGTCCAAAATGAACTTTACTTTATGCATTGTCATGGGACAAAAGGAACAGAAAATTGCAAGTCAATCTACAACTCATTACATATTTGAAATCAGCACAGAAGCCCATGTATACAGCAAAAAATTTCATTGCCCCAGGCTACAGATTGGCGAAACCCTTTTTTTTTTTTTTTTCAATCACATTTCCCCTTCAGCATTTTTTTTTCTGATGCGGCACATGCGGTCAACATGTGTGAAAGATAAACGTCAAACAAAGACTTCGTATGTCACAATCGATGTCCAGATTTTAGTCATTGTGGATACCCGCATAGATTCTTTTCTTAAATCCTGAGGCTAAATATCCTTGAAAAATGACAGATATGGGAAATGCCTTCGTTTAAAATGGCAACATTAGCTGAGATTTCGTTGACAGCGAATTCTGAGGTATGCTCATCTTACCAACACGTCATGACGTGTCACAGACATTATGCATGCGCAAAGTGCCGATAGTATTTGAGTGCAGTAGTGTCAGAGATTCCAAATGGACTTGTGGGAGCAACTAAATCGCCACGGTGGTTGTGGTGCTCAAATTCTGAGCCTCAGGTCGCAAGATGTCATTCTAGCAGTAAGGACATCAATTCCTAAGGAAAAGCACATGTTGCGTGCAAGTTTCAGTTAATGCAAAACTGTGATTTGGCCTAGTTGGAAGATATCCATCTTGAAATTTTTGCGCAAACACCAGGAACACAGAAAAGAAGACAAACGGGGGCAATCTAACAACTGGTTTATTTTTTGAAATACATTTATTTTATACCCCTCGAATCTGCGCTCTCTGGTCAGTTTATTTTTATTTCTCTCGAAGTCATGGCTCAGGAGGGCGAAGTCGAGGGTCATCATTTTAAAGTATTTGTTTTCATCGTGTGACACCAGACAGGTAAAATAAGATTAAATTCACCTAATGCTATCTGTGTGTTATGTTAGGTTTGTTGTGACAGGAGTATAATCATCATACGTAAGGTACTGATGCACATTCTTGTGTAGCAGTGCTGTGAGGTTCAGCTGGGCACAGCAGTTGTTGGCTGTTCACAAATGAATTGTGTACATGTAATCTCCCTTCCAAGTAAACTTTGATTGTGTGGTCTTGCTTGGCTGCTGAGTGCGTTTCACAAGTGTGGACACAGTTGAGCATTTAGGGCAGGAAGGGTGCACCACGTATAAAAACTCAAGAAACAACGAGCATCTGTGTCATTTCTGTAAATGCCAAAAGTCTGGCTTCTACTGTTCCATTTGGCAATGGCCGAACCGAAGGCATACGGCATTCCTTTCTCATGGTTAACTGTATCGTGTCCTCTATAGAATGCCAAGGGAAGACACAACAACTAGTCGTATTGTAGAAAACTTTTATGGGCCAGCAAGTGAACATCTTCCACGTCAAAGATTGTGGCAATGAGGAAAGAGTCACTTGCAGTGACATGCACCTGCTTGTAGTTATTACTTCTGGCTGTGGTGTGAGTGTTATGTAAGTAGAAGTGCATCAACCATGAAAGATCGGAAACAGTGGTGGGTGTTCTGCTCAGTGCTGCCTTGCATGCTTCAATGGCCAGGCACTTGTGAAAAGTGCTCAGGCCTTAGATGATGTCAGAATATCATTTTTGTCCAGTGTCATGGTGGGTACCGTACAGAGAAGTCGCAGGAGCTTCCTAAATGTGTCTCAGTGCTCCCAACGACCAGTTAGAGGACTGTGTAGACAAGCTGAAAGGGGCAATCTGATTGAGAGGCCGGAATGGGACCTTTCACTGAGATTCCTCTCTTCATCGAAGCTTGCAAAAGATGCAAGTTGCGGCATCCTGGTGGTCCTGTTGTTTCTCTCATCAGATAGGTGACCTGATTGATAAATTGGCAGGGGGGGGGGTTTTTCATGCCATCATAATGCGGTGCCTTTAACCCATGCTTGACCCACGCCTAGGTGTGACCGAGGAGGAGGCCCTTGTGGCACGCCTGCACGTGCAGCAGCTGGCTGCGCAGTTCCTGCAAAATGAGCTGGAGGCCATGGAAGCACGCCTCAGGTGGGACTTCATGGTTAAACATTTTCACTGTGTGCACAAAAGACCGCCACACAAAGTATGGAGAAATGAGCGCTAACTCATAACTGTTTGTTTTTCTGGAATCTTGAACTAAACATACAGGCACCAGTAAACAGCATAGAACTTGTGCAGAACGAGCTGTGGCATACGGGCAGAATACAAACTCTTTCGTTACCGTGAGAAAATGGCTATTTGTAACACGTCTTGGGAAAAAAGTTTTTCCCTGTTTAGCAAAGTACTCCAATACTCTGCAGCATACTAAATTATGCATAATTTCGTATGCTAATCTCTATGTTCGGACAGGCCGCTATTGGAATCTGAACTCGCCTACGTTCAATGCTAGAGCATTAGCTAGGGAGACTAGAATGTTACTTGAAGAATAGACACGTGCTATGCTATCATAGCTTATTGACAGAACAGAAGATGGGGTGTGGTGCCTTATCTATAAAAATATAGCTGGCAACATAGAGGAATTTTCGAGAAGGCTGCAAGCTTCATAATAAAGTTTAAGGGGGGACGTGGGTTCTAAAATTTTTTTCTTAAATTTTTTGCTCAATCTTAATCAAACTTCACTACCTGAGCTAGTTTTTCATGCTGATTTCAAATCTCTAATTCGTTTCTTAATATTTCAAGTGGTTTAGAAAATATGAAGATCTGAATCTTAATTAATTGCTTACTTCTTATGGGACTTCTTGGCAATTTATTCTTTCTAAATCCAAAAAGTGAATGCATAATCCCAATGCTGGAGATTTGCTGTAGGGGTGATGCTATTTTTATCAATTTGAAGGCATTTTATAAGCAAGAAAACGAACGAACACTTATGGTCACTATATTACAATAAATTTCTCTCACTAAAATCTTCAATGGTAATTTTTGAAGTGATGCTAGAGAAATAGAAATAGCATCACCCCCTAGATCATGTCAAGACGAATAAAATGATACCATGTTTGTCGCATTCACTCAAGTTTAACATAGGAAAAACCCCCGTAAGGCCGAGTGAAATGTGCAAAAACATCGAACTGAGAAAAACGCGTTTGAAGTTTCTAGCAACTTTAACTTTTGCTAAAGTGAAGCTACAGCGATATTAATGACATCATTCTGTAGCTCTATATTATAGGATAAATGGCCATGCTAAATTTCACTGTACCCACCCAGAATACTGCCCACAGCTTGTTCTAGTACTATAAAAGTCATTGACTCAGCATGAGAATTATAATTTTTTTACTTTGTGGTCGTTCTAGTGCCTTGCAAGTGAAAGGAACACAAAAAAATCATGTAATAATGTTGTCCTTGGATAGACAATAGATTTACACAATGTTTAGGTCTAAAACCAAGAATATTTATTTTTGCAAAAATTCTCACTATTTGCCATCATGACTGTTTACAGCAGACCAGGGCTGTAAGCAGAGTCCCCTGCTGGCTTGTGACGCTTTGAAAGTCTTTTCTTTATTGAACTGCTGTTAAAATGCTCTCTTCGCGATTTTCGCAGCCTGCCCTTGTCCTTCTCAAGGCTGCGACGCACCAAGTTATTGCCAGCGCCGTAGCCCAGCTTCTCGGCAATTTCCACGTTCCTCTTGGTTGTGCCTTGGTTGAAGCGGCTGATGGCTTCGGCAACTGCCCTTTCAATGCTCCGCAAGGATGCATGCTGAGTTTTGGCGGCCTGCTGCCAAATCATAGCGTGCAGGCTCTCACTTGGGTTGATCCCATCGCTGCACCTTTCCAAGAGGGCATTGTCGCTCAGCCGCCTAAACACAGGCTCCAATGCCTCAGTTACGAAATCAGACAGGCTGTCCTTGTGTGGTGGCGGCTTCTCATTTTTCGCAAGAGCTCGGTGAAATTGGCACCAGGATTCAGGGCCTTCAGGGCAAAGGTCATGCTTTGGTGCCTCGTCAGTTGAAGACGTGGTTAAAAGTTGCTAGAACAGCCTTCTGCATACCTGGAACACCAATCCTGTGGCTTCTCAATGCGTTGCCATAGTATGAGGTGCTCTTCTTTATCTTTTGTTGTGTAAGTCTGCCCTTTCCACCAAGTGAGCCACCTTGAGCTTTTTTTTTCTCTACAAGGGTACATAAGGCAGCTCCCATACGCTTGTGTACATGATTTATGCAGTCCTTTTTGGCCACCTTTATGAAGCCGTACACCTCTTTTTTTGTGAGTGCATTGAATGTCCTGCTGTCGCCATCCAACAGCATTGTCGTATAACGAAGCTCGTGCTTTTCAAGTGACCGCTCAAACAAGCGTAGTGCTGCCTCTACTTCCATCTGGCCAGCATTACAATGAACATTCTTCTGGTACAGAGGGGCATGCTGAATGAGCCAGGCAGAATGTCCTGCTTCTCCTTCCTTGGGTCCTGTGGTGCAAGCCAGGCAAAAGTTCGATAGCACGATATGGTCTATCACGAGGCCACTATACATCTCAACAATGCAGCCAACACATATATGCGAGCTATGTCCATGTGTAAGCCAGGTGCCGTCATAAATGACGTCGACGTTTCCGAGCGCGTTGCCGAACTCCGCATAGAGCTCCTTGACGCGAGCGACGCTCGCCGCTTCGCATTCGGCAGCAGTCGCACAGCAGGCTTCTTTCATTGTATTCATGTGGCTTTGGTAACTCTTGTGGTGAAGCCCTTGATGCGAAATATTCATCCCGGTGAAGAAGTCCGACAGAGCCGTTGCCCCCTGCCCATACTGTTGATGGCCTTCATGGCACGCATATTAACTTCAAACGGCCTTATTTTGGCGTCGGTCTCGTCGGCTATACGTGGGGACGAAAAACGCTCTTCGCGAAAGTCACAACTGCCGCTGGTGACTATGAGCTTCGAACACAGCCCGTACTCTTTCTTGGCCTTTGAAATAGTGACGCTTCTTTCACCGCATTCTGGGCACGCGACAAGTCCAAATAACGAGCATATCGCCGCCAGATCAACAATAACAAATTCTGTCCCGTTTTCTTTGCCACCATCCTCCAGATCAATATCTAGTAACTCGAACTTACGTTTCGTCGCGCACTGCGATGCGAGTGATGCCTTCAAGCCCGCTGCATTTCTCGCACACTCAGCAAACTCGTCCGCCGAATAAAACGCCGTGTCAATGCGGTCTAGGATGCTGCTGGAAGTGCAATATGACGATCCGACGACGACACAATCCGATGAGGTGCTGCTGCAAAGCACAGGAGAGTGCACCGCTTCGGACACAAGCGGCCACGGCTGCGCGCCGTCGTCGGAATGCGCCGCATCGGCGGCATCGAGCGAAATCGGCTGCACGTTGTCGGCTGCTTTCTTCTGGCGAACGTTCCATGGGCGCCTCCATTTCTTGCCGTACGCTTGGCGCGTCTTCTTCTTTAGACGAGCGTCTCCTATCATGCCGGCAAAAGACGGAAAGTCGGTGCGTCGGTCGCGTAGCACAAGAAGGCACGTGTGGGAAGTAAACGAACAACGTGCGCGAATGGGAACCGGCGGCCGACGAACAATATACAAAAAAAAAGCGCGGGCAACTTTGGCCGCATCAGCCAATGGAAAGCGAGGAACAGGGGGCTCGCCTGGTGCGCGCGTGCTCCGGCCGATCAGCGGTCCGGATGGGGTCTTGGGAAAAGGGGCGAGGGCAGCCGTTCTGTTTAAGCGACGCCATTTTGAAGGGTGGCAAAATGCGCACAAGGGAATCAGCTTCAAAACAAGCCCAAGATTGTGGCGATCGGCCGACTGCCTCGCCGGCAGGGCGCGCGGGAAGTTTGAATGAATTTGACCTGCCGTGGGTTGTTTTGCGGCTCCCGTGGCGACTTCCTAATCAATTTGAATCCATTTACTGAGAATTCAGCGTTCACAATTTGAGGACACGTGCTTATAGGTCTAAAAATTTCAAATATCGCATTTTCTCAAGATCGACTTTTTGGCCATTTTTCACCATTCTAAGACCCACGTCCCCCCTTAATACAGTCGAGGCCACATACAGGGATCCCACTTGAAATGAACTTTCGCTTAAAATGAACAATATCTGCGAGAAAATGGAAATATACATTATGTATTTCAATGACACAAAATCGCACTTACAACGAATGTTTCTGAGCGCCGCCGATTGGTTACAGTGAACGGAACCGGCGTTCTAGCGACTTCCCGGACCCCACGTTCGACCGCCAATAAGCAGTCGGTGAGGGGCCCATAGGTTATCGTTGTTAAACGCTGACCTTGCCTAGGCAGCCCTCTAGTTGTCACTCTCCCCGAGCGTTTCTTGTTATGTACCCCTTTGTCCTTCATCCTCCAGCTACTCTGAGCACCTCGAATCGCCAGACGAGGCCCGTGTTTCCTCACTGCTACCACTCTTTCGAAGACCGCTTGGCCGACCTGTTTCCCCTCAGTTTGTGAGCACTGGTTTTGATACACTATTATTGGCGTCAATGGGTTGGAGTGACCAGATCATTTGCCAACACTGTCGGCCGTCGGCTGCACCCGATCCTCTGTGTTTTGTCTGGATCAATGCCGTATCGCTCCAGTGCATGCGCGTAGGCTACATGCGTGTGTGCTACCCCACAGACTCAGATAATTGGCAATTCATTCCGCGTTTAGGACCTGTTCCCGCTCATCTCGCACTCGACTCAGCATGCTCTCCGCATGATTGCAGAACCATAAAAACGGCTGTTAAAAGGAACGAATCGTGAAGAACTGAAGTCAGTGACGCTGCACAAACCTGACGGCGCCAGAAAACGATTCTTTGACCTCTGCGTGCGCATACCACTTCCCCAAGTTTTTCTACACGCGAGTTTCAGGTTTCGTGGACCTTTCAAGAAAACTACCCAACTTGCCTGCCTTCTTCTCATGTCTTTAGGTTTTTAAGGTCACCTTCCCGCCATATCCTCCCATCTCTTCATACTATCGCAACTCCTTGCCCTTCTCTCGTGAGTCTGCTGTCCTTTCTTTATCAAAATTTTTTCGCCCGTCTTCACTGCTCCGCAACGCCAGCCACGCTGGCTTGAGTTCAGAAGTTTCATTT